CTTGCCTGGTACATTACCCTTCTCAGAAACCATCTATCACAACATCAAAATTTCAAATGCGTAAGAATAACAGTACCCATTTCGACTCTCCCTCTTTCTATTATTATTGTATTTGTCAATGTAAGAACCATCCACACCTGTAAGAATTTTTATGAATTTATTTGAGCCAAACTGACGACAGTTGCCAGGAAGCAAAATCTCACTGGATTGAGAAAATGTTCTGGGAAATGGCAGTTTTGCACCTTATCTATCCTTCCTTCCTATATAATAAAAGGCTAATATACAAATCGACTGAACAGCTGAGCAACTGGTCGCTGTGATGCGCACTGACCACCAGGGGGCAGATGCTCAATGCAGGAGCTGCCCCCTGATGGTCAGTGTGCTCCTGCAGGGGGAGCATCACTCAGCCAGAAGCCCTGAGCTAGGCTCACGGCTGGCGAGCCCAGCTGGCAGTGGCAGGAGCCTCTCCCACCTCTGGGGCAGTTGGACATTCCCCAGGGGCTCCCTGACAGTGAAAGGACACTGGCAGGGCTGAGGGACCTCCCCTTTCCGAGTGCACAAATTTTGTGCACCGGGCCTCTAGGCTATATATAAAAGGCTAATATGCAAAGTGTCCCCTTGGGAGTCCGACCATGAGACCGGGAGTTTGATCGCTTGCTATGACGTGTGCTGACCACCAGGGGGCGGTGCAGAACATGGCGGGTGACCAGTGGTGGTGGTGGTGGAGGTGCACTGAGGGAGCGAGGGAAGGAGGAGGTGGGAAGGTGGGGAGGCGGGGAACCTGATTGGCCCTGATCGCCAGCCAGGCCTAGGGACCCTACCCGAGCATGAATAATTTCGTACACCGGGCCTCTAGTTTTACATATTACAATAAAAAGAGGAAGGGTAAGTGGGTTACATGAAATCCATTGGTGATAGATTAAGGAGGTGAGTACAGGATAGTTAATAGTTAACAATTAACAGGGTAAAAATAACAATAAGGGCATTTGTGGTCTCTGTAAAGGCATGTTTATCAGGTATGTTACCCTAAGATAACAACAGACAGGCTCAGTTAAGGTAAAGACTGACCTTTGCTAGGAAAAAATACTGCCCTAGGACATGACTACCTCCTATGAACAGCTTTTAGTTAAAAAGTTTTAATTTTAGAGCATCCTATGTGGTTACTTTAGGTCTCTGAGTTTGTAAGGCCACCATGCAGGCCTTCCCTGAGCTAGTCAGATTTAGCACGTAACCCCTTTTTGTCCACATATTGAATCTTTAGAGAATCACTTTGAGGTGAATTTTATGGATGAAGCTCTGAGAAGTATTTTGTGTAACATGTGGCAGCAGAGAAGTAATGAGTGTTCTTTCCACTCCCCCAAGCCCCTCTGATGTTCCTTAGGCTCCAGCCATTCCACATCTACCACCCCTGGCTCTCACCAGCATGTATCTACTCCCTTAGGCAAACTTATTGCCACTGTCTTGATTCTTCCAGACTTCTGTGTTTTCAGACATTGTACCTTCCTCTTTCTCCTGCAGAAGAAAAGCAACTTCTCCTCAACTGCTTGGTAAACTTTCCTGCCTGGGACTTAGTTTCCCCATCTGTAATGCCAGGAGTCATCTTGCTTGTTACCCCATCCCTCCCACCTCAGCCAGCTCCTCCCCAGGCACTATGAGCCCATCCTCTGATACACTGTAGGGCAGGAAGTACACAGGGAGCTCAGGACTTTTGTTACTTATTCTATTCTTAAACTTTTCTTAATGTCTTTTTTTTTAAATTAAAAAATATATTTTATTGATTTCAGAGAGGAAGGGAGAGGGAGAAACATCAACGATGACAGAGAATCATTGATTGGCTGACTCTTGTGTGCCCTCATTGGGGACAGAGCCTGAAACCCAGGCATGTGCCCTGACTGGGAATTGAACAGTGATCTCCTGAGACATGCCGACTGGGCTCTAAATGTCTTATTATTGCTGCCCCAAACTAATTGCTAACATGCTTGGCCAGAGCTTTCAAACTTCTATTGCTTTGTCTCTTTCCTGGTTCCTGAATCTCATCTTCTCCAGTTAGTAGCTGTTGACCTTGGGCAAATAACATCACTTTTTTGAGCCTCAGTTTTCTCATCTGTAGAAAATGGGTTGATAATATCTCTGTTGCATGGATTAGTTGTGATGATTATAACAGACAATAGCTTATAGGAAAACACCTGGCAAAGAGTAGCCACTTGGTTTATTTTAGTTTTCATTTTTCTTTATTTTGCCCTTGGGAACAGTAATCTTTTACACAGAAATATCAGTAATCTCTTAAACCTAGTCTGCCCAGACATCTGAGCCCCTTCACATTTCTGCCTCCATGTGCCCATGTGTATCCTCTATTCCCAGACCCTCAATGCCTTTGAGATTACTGGTTTTGGGGGCCTGCCCCCTCCTTCTGCAACACCCTTTCTTGCTTCCCTGTTTCTTCTAGGCTTACCTCTGTGCCATTACCGCCATGCTCTTTTTGATGCCATAGCCACGTGCTGCTTTGCATACTTCAGGGGTTACTGTCAGGATCAACGGGGATGATTTATGCAATAAAAAATGCTTTGCAAAGTAAGATGGGGTGCATTCACATGCATTATGATGATGATGGCTATCACTCCTGCACTATCTTCAGATGACTAAAAATATCCACCCAGCCTGGACCTTCTCAGCATAATCTTATCTCTTGGACTTCCCCACACTGGCTGAGCAGTCTGACAGTTTAAGCAACTGGAAGAACTTGTGGGAGACAGCAGTGTTGGGGGTGGAGAATGCCTGAGTAATGAATTACCTTCTTTAGGGTCCCAGTGGGAAACCAGGCACCCCGGAAAGCGTTAATTGACCTCAGTTGAGTGAATGCGTTAGGCCCAGCAAGCATTTCATTTGCTCAGGCAGCCCATTGTGATGATGACATTAAATAATCATTATCATTAAATGGAAATCCTGTCAACTTGGAGATTTAGAAAGTGTTTCTCAAGTCACATACATATAAGCGACCGAAATGCACAGAATGTTCATCTAGAAGAAAGTATTTGTGAAGACAACATTTGTTTGTAATTGTCAGCATTTGGCAAAGGCAGGAAATGAAAGAATGAAATGAACCACAGCTTTGGATTCCTTCCAGTGTTTTTTCCAGTCCCAAATCTTCAAGGCTAGGGAGGGAGGCCTTCCTGTCCTGGGCCATGAGCTCTAGGGAGGGGAGTAGGAGCCTGCAACTCCTGCACCCCCTCGTCTAGGAAGTCATTTCAAAGGGAGCTGCCTCCAGGGAAAAGCAATAGCCCATTGGCCAATATTTATTTATAGTCTTATACCCTGTAAACTTGTCTTCTTTTAAAAAATTAAGAGCAAAAAGTATTTTGGTTCTTGTTTGTTTGCACCACCTCCAGGCACTTGTATCTGTTTTCCTTATTTCTGGGCTGGTTGCTCAACATCTTTGGTCTTGATGAAACTGGTTTCATTCCTCAGCCCTTCCTTATTATTAATGTTCTTATTATTGGTTAGTTCTTTTATGTTTGCAGTGTCCTTGACAATCTTTTTTTATTAGCTGTTCTTTACAACAACACAGTAAGGTGGATCAGCCTTACTGAATATTTATCCAACAAATTGTCCAACATTTTCTTTTGTTGGCTTTTCTTAAGATTTATTACGACCATTTTTTTTTTTTCCTTTCTCAGAGTCGCCCTTCTGCAAGAGACTTATTTCATGCTTGCTCTTGTGGGGCTGCAGGAGCCAGGGGCTGATGTCATCTGCTTTCCATTGTGTTTGGCTTCTTCCTCCCCTGTGGCTTTCTCACCCTCCTCACGATTATTGTTGCCTCTGCTGTTCATGCAAATGGTGCTCAAGTCATCCAAGGTGGGTTTGAGTAGAGGGCTTCTTTCTTCTTTTTCTTAACTTTGGGGCACATTTCTAAGAGGCCACTGGCTATCAGGTCTTCAGCACATGATTCATTACCAAATAATATTTTGTGGTTGTCATTGCTGTGATTGGGTATATATTTACTCTAAGGTGAATCACTGGACTGCCAAGTTATAAAGAGGGATGTTTCAGGGATGGCTGGGGATTTGCACTTAAAAAAAAAAAGATCTTAGAGAGAGGAAGGGAGTGAATGAGGAAGAGGGGGAGGAAGAGGGATAAACATTGACCAGTTGCCTCCTGCACGCACCCAACTAGGGATCAAACCTGCAACCTGGGTATGTGCCCTGACCAGGAGTCAAACCCACCACCTATTGGTGTATGGGACAAAGCTCCAACCAACTGAACTACACCCGCCAGCGCTAGGGATTTGTACTTTAACAAAAAAGAATATCAATTCTGATCAACCAAGAAGTGACCACATTTTCCCAAACCCACCATCATCACCACTTCTACTACCACCATCTTTTCCACACAAGAATTGCTATACCCAGTCTTGTACCACCATGAAAAAATACTATATTATGTTTCTCTCTATGCACATATACCAAGATATTCTGGTGTCTAGGACTTTATAAGTAAACAGATTGTCTCCAAATACCATTGAAAAATTATTTGAATACATAATATGTTTGTACTTCTCCATTACACTTACATCATGTTAAAGTTATTGTTGACTTGTCTTCCTTACTCACTGAACTCCGGTTTTCTTGAGGGCAGAGACCATATCATACTCTTCATCCACCAAGTACTGTGCAAGGCACTAGCGAAACTTTTTAGGGAGTTAATAAATGTCTGTTGAGTGAATGTTAAAATGCTCTGATTAAATGAGAAAATGCTTTTGTAAACTATAAAATGTTTTATAAACTAGTAAGGACCATTGAAATATAACTTCTTTTTATTATAATTGCATTACTTTGTCTATACAGCAATGAAGGATTAATTTGAATCCTGTGAAGCTTGATAAGAAATACTTATCCACTTTATAGAACAAGAATGATGGAATTTGATGGAATTTTCAAAAGATTAAAAAGATTATTATTATTATTATTATTATTATTATCTTTGTTTCTGATCCCATGCTTCAGCATAGAGTCATCCACATGAAGAACAACCCTGTTTCCTGGGCTGGAGTTTAGAATCAGCTCACCACTGGATTGCACCAGCCAACAGAAAAACATGGAATGCTTCAGGAATTGGCATGTCATCTTCACAGAGGGCCATGCTAATCTCCTCTGTACTGTTCCAGTTTCAGTATATGTGCTGTCAAAGCCAGCACCAGCCGTAGTATTTTGACTGGTTTCTGATGTTGGGCCTTCTTGGTCACCTGTGGCAATTGAGAGTCCAGCAATGGGTGGGATGATAACCTCTGACTGTGTTTAAAATTCATTAAAAAATTCTCTGCTGCCCTAACCGGTTTGGCTCAATGGATAGAGCCCAAATTCAATTCTAGTCAAGGGCATATGCCTGGGTTGCGGGCTTATTTTCCAGTAGGGAATGTGCATGAGGCAGCCGATCAATAATTCCCTCTCATCATTGATGTTTCTATTTTTCTCTCCCTCTCTCTTCCTCTCTGAAATCAATAAAAAATAAAAAATAAAAAATTCTCTGCTGTACCAGTAGGTATTTTAGAAAATGTCCTAAGTGAAGTTGTACTTACATGGGTTCTAGGTGTAGGTGGTTCTGGAAAGCTATGAGCTATTCTGTGCTGTACCAGATTTAAGCCAATGGAATAGCAGTTGCCAAAGCAATCAATGTTCTTAGCAGTTTGAAAATAGTCCAATATTCCAGAACGCTCCCCACTATGGAACTTATCTTAGAGGCTGTGAAGAAGGGAGAAAAGTGTTCTTCCATCCACAATCTCCTGGCATACTCCAAAAAAAAAATATACATGAGCCAGTTATTTCTGCAGAACAAACATTACACATAGTGATTAAAAAATAAGTTCTACTTTTGAGTCTGGCACATTTCAGGTACTTAATAAATACTGGCTGAGTGAATAAATGAATGAATTTAGCCTTCCTGTCCTAGCTATCCAAGATGTTTAACATTTGCATGTAAAAAAGGCCCAGGAATAACTTTACTGGCTTCCACCCAAGGGTATGCTGGGGTCAGTCAACAATAGGGGAAGAACTCTGAGTTGGAGCCAAGTCCACTTACAAGAAGCAGCTTTTGATAAAAGCTCAGTTCTCTTATCAATATTCCTTCAACTGTTTCTGTTTCAAAAACTTCTTTTGAAAAGCAAATGCACTGTAGGCAGAAGCTGAATCAGAAAGCCAGAATTCGAGTCCCATCCCCAGTTGGGTGGCAAGACATGTCAAATCAACCCATTGGTAGATTTTGGGGTTGGCTTTACAGAAGGCTGACAGCACTTTTGAGTCTATGTATAGAAACATTAAGATTGCTGCTGGAGGTAAAAAAATTAGTCGTTAGAATCTACTGTGTTAAATGAAGTTTCCAGGAAGCCGCACTACAAGAGTCTGGCTTTCATGCCTGATCTTCATTCCTGGCCAGTGGTAGAAACAGAACATGTTGACTTTGGGATCTGGTAATTGTTGTAAATTAGTGGCTTAAAGGCCACAGAGCCACTTTCTTTCCTTCTTGCCTACTTTTCTGCCCCTTATTTCTACCAGTGATTCTGGTTTCGTTTCCTCATGTGCTAATCTCTGTTTGTCAGCAACTGGCCATCAGAAGACTTTTTTGTCTCCTTGGTTCTTTGCGTGCTGAAGATTTAGCTAGCTGGGAATTGAATGGAGGAAAGAGTCAAGCAGGGAGGTTTGTGCATGGAATGGATATTTTGTTCCTCCGAAGATTTGTCACAGCAGATATAAAGTGTCTTTCTCACTCAAAGTACCTCCAAGCACATTCACAAATCAATTAGTCACTGGCAGGGCCCAGAGTGGAGGCAGCATAAGCCCTGTGGTGATAGCCAGCGACCCTGGCTGCTCACTCTCTCCGGCGTGCTGTCCTTGATCATTAGATAACACAGTGACACTTCACCCCCTGGCGACTGTTTCCATTACAATCAAAACTTCAGAGAGAGAGGCTATGGCTTTCAGAGTATTGCTCCATTAATAAACAAACACCCACAAGGAGAGACTGGGGAAAAGGGAGACAGGCCCTCCCTTTGAGACAGAAAGCCAAGAAAAGGAAACAAAAAGAAATCCATCTTTTATTTGCTCACTGTGACTCCAGAACACTTATGTATTCTCTGGCATGTTCAGTCGTTGACTAAGGTGGAACCCCAGCGTTTCTCTCAGTTCATTAGACAGACCAATTAAGCGCCACAAAAGAGTCTTAATTCTAAGAGGATGAGACTCTCGACACAGCCCTTCTAAGCTTACAAAATAGGTGCGACGTGCCTCCTGCCAGTTACTCAGCAAGCAGAGCCGACAACATATGCCTCAGGGGCCTCGGACGTACTGGGTGAGGGCGGGATCTGAAGAACACCTAAGACTGTGTCCAGCTGAGCTGTCAGAGGAGTTCTCATCAGTCACTCTGCGGGAACAAATAGAGTTTCTGAAATGCACACATCATTTTAGGAACACGCTTTGAACTTTGAGTTCCCAGCTTGTTGATAATGGGCTTAGGGGAGGGGTGGAGGCCCCAGGATGGGAGAACAGGGTGACCACTGCCCTAGGTTCAAGAGAGTAAAGGTGAACACCATCCTTCATAAGATTTGGCGCCTTTCAGACTACTCAGCAAGCTGAGGGGTTCGAAAGAAAAATTGCTTCTTGTATAATAGCTGAGGGCTCTTATCTCATTCTTGGGAACAAGCTGGGGGTAGGTGGCAACTATTCTGGTCTTTCGTTTCACAGTTGGCAGAGCTGAGGTACAGGGAAGGGAATCGGTCTGTCAGCCCACTAAGCTAGATGTGCATGTGGAGAGAGCTCCTTTGATGGCCCTGAGCACCTCCCCATCCTCCATCAATGCCATTTACAACCTCTGCTCAGAGCCCTTTGGCAGCTTCCTAGAGAACAGGAGTTTACTGCATCATTGAGGTAACCCGACAGAATGGGAGTCCAAAGACCTGAGCTTGAATTCTGGCTCCTGCTCTTACTAGCTCTGCAGTCTCAATTTGTTTCTCTTTTAAAACGAGATGACAATTGTGAGAATTAAAAGTGTTTGAAAGCTTTTAACCCAGTGCCTTGTATACTCAGCAAATGTTAATTGTATATGAATTTAAGGAAAAATTAATATGAGCCCAGCCCTAATTGGTTTGGCTCAATGGATAGAGCGTCGGCCTGCAGACTCAAGGGTCCCAGGTTCGATTCCGGTTAAGGGCATGTACCTTAGTTGCGGGCACATCCCCAGTAGGGAGTTGATCGATGTTTCTCTCTCATTGATGTTTCAAACTCTCTATCCCTCTCCCTTCCTCTCTGTAAAAAAATCAATAAAATATATATTTTAAAATGAGCCCAGATTTCCTTCTCTGACAAGCAGGTTCCAACTTACTTCAATTCATATATTTCCCTACATCAGTGATTCTCAAAGCTTGGTTTCTGGACCGGGAGCCTCAGAGGCACCTAGTAACCTGTGAGAAATGCAGATTCATAGGCCCCATCTTAGACTTGAACCAGAAACTCTTGGTAGGGGGAGGGAGGGCAGCAATCTCTATTTTAATAAGTTTCCCAGGGGATTCTGATGCACACCACAGTTTGAGAACCACTGCTTTATATTAACTTCATAATGGCAGGAACAAAGCACCGGTGGCAGCAGCTGACATAATCATGGTTGCGACATGGTTGACAGCTTGAACTCAGGCATATATTGGTGGTACCACTGTACCTGTCCTGTCTTTGTGCATTTGTTGAGAGAAAAGAAAAGGAAATTTGCTGAAGTTGACCATCCTGCTGAACATAGAAGACATTCTGCTATTTTTTTTTTTTTTTGGTGCAGGAGGTGGAATTGACAGAACATAATGGGTCTGCATGAGCATGAAGGTGGTAGAAGAAATTGTCAAATATAATCCCCAAACCCCACAGGCCTTGTAATGTTGGAGTGTGCAGAGACAAGGGAGGCATTGTGTTCTGACAGAAACTGTAGAAGAAGATGCCAACATTTATTCGCTATTCAGATCAATGCATACAGTGTCGGCAAGTATTGAAATGATTTTGAAAGTACTTTGAAAGTTGAATATGTGATGTAAAGCTTGGACATTTTAGAGCTGTGGAGAAGATCATACTTTCTCTTCAATTCTCCAAGAGGGAGTAGGAGGTTGTGTCACTTGATTGACTCCTCATTTATCCCACATAACTTCATAGTGCAGCGGTTCTCGACCTGTGGGTTGCGACCCCTTTGGCGGTCGAACGGCCCTTTCACAGGGGTCGCCTAAGACCATCCTGCATATCAGATATTTACATTATGATTCATAACAGTAGCAACATTACAGTTATGAAGTAGCAACGAAAATAATTTTATGGTTGGGTCACAACATGAGGAACTGTATTTAAAGGGCCAGAAGGTTGAGAACCACTGTCATAGTGGCTTCCACAGAGCCTCTTAGCAAGAATGCTACTGTGCCCTTCCTCCGTGCCCTGCCCCTATTCCTTCTCCATCATTTTGTTCCTTTCTGGAAAAGTTTAGAAGCCCCCCTAGCTTATGCTCTCAGGTACTGACTGCTAAGTGGCAACTCAACCAATGTCCCCCTCCCCGTTTCAAGGGGGAAAACATTGGCTGAGTTGCCGCTTAGCAGTACCTGAGAGCATAAGCTACTTAAATCCAAAGACTTCTTATCACTATAATTCAACACTCTCAGATGACAACACTGAGGTGCAGAGATGGAATTCCCTGACTCCAACCAAGTTCAATACTCTTGAACCTACTCCCTGAAGCAAGCATGCCAAACTCAAAGGCTAACACAGGTTAAATAAAAGAGGCATGAGGCCCAGGCTGAGTTTGACATGCTTGCCCTAAAGCAGTGGTTCTCAACCTTGGCTGCACATTAGAATCACCTGGGGATCTTTTTAAAATCCTGATTTCTGGGCCTCATCCTCTGGAAATTCTGTTTCTTTGTTACTAACGTGGTGGCCCCACCCCATAACAAAGAAACAATTTCCGGAGGATGAGGCCCAGAAATCAGGATTTTAAGAAGATTCCCAGGTGATTCTAATGTGCAGCCAAGGTTGAGAACCACTGCCCTAAAGGAAGCATCAGTAATTATGGGGTGTGGCACAGAAAAAAGGAGCCATGGGATTAGAAGCCTTTTCCCTCCTAGTTTTTCAGATATCATACTGGGGAGACAAAGAGAATTACTAAGACATCCCAACTGGGCAGGGAAGGCAGGGTGTGCACAGAGGTATGAACTTGAAAATGTATGGAAATTGCTAAGAAAAACAGCGTGCAGATAACCAATCACAAGGCAGT